TAATATTAAAATTATTTTAATATATGTAATATATGTTTAATTAAGTTAAGTTTATTAGTTTTCTTGTTACTTACAGTTACACTTGCTACTTGTTATCCACAGGCGCCGGAAGATATGAAGCTTGAGTTTTAGCAATTTCAAAATTAAAAGTTTTACGTTATCTGTTTTAACTAATTAAACATATTCTCGATAAATTATCAATGACAATATTAATTAAATTGAAATTATATGTTATTTTAGGTGACCATAACAAACAAATAAAATAAATGAGAATTCAACAAAATTTAAAACAGGATATTTCATGGATACAAATTACCATAAAAGAAAAAAGAAAAATCCTTGAGAGCAAACTTTTTTTTGTTAATCCAATTATTCAAAACTTCAAAATTTAGAGTGACCATCATCTTTTTGTCTAATAAATCATTTTCATATCGCGTATTTAAAATCAAATTTTGACAACGTTTATTTCTCCTAGCACCCGAATAGAGTTTTGGGGTACATAGTTCTGTTAAAAGAAAATGGTAGATGGCTTAAATTCTCCATACATTCTTCTATAGATACAACTCGTTTTGTATTCAAAATAGTCAGGATAGGTTCACTATTTTACTTGGCCCCAATACAAATGGATCCTCGGAATACATTTTAAATAGTCGTAACTGGCTTAAAAATTTCAGTATAGTGATGAAATTTGAAGTTTTATGATGATGATGAGTCCCTAATTGACCCCACCTTCCATATAAGGCCCCTTTCAGAAAACTAATTGAATGTTCGTAAGTGTCTTTAAAATTCCAGTACTGTAATAAAATTTTACATAAATGAATTTTAAATCTATCTAACAAATTTTAAAACTCAGAATTTTCTATGTTCACTTCTCTATGGAAATTTTGAAACAAAATTTCCCTCACAGAATGTTTTTAATTTTTATTGACAATTTAAATAATCATGTATCATTATAGAAAGTTTTTTGGAATTTTGCATTTATACTGATCAATCGTTTCTCGATCATATAGTATAAATGCTTGATCACAACTTGACTTATAAAGAATATTCTCTAAAAATTATCGATAATATCTGGAAATTTTGTTTAGATCAACACTACATATTTATAAAAATAGATTTTTTAAACTTGAATTTAAAATCGAAAAAAGTTAATAACATATTTAAAATGATTACAATATTTATATTTTTTAAAATCTATTTTTCTCCTTTACAAACCACTTTATATAAAATGTCCTATATTATCATTTATCAATTACATATTACTTTTTTCAATTGAAAAACAAATCTTTTACTTAAGAAGGCTTTAAAATTGACATTTCAAATAATACTTTTCTTCTAAACATTTCAAAAATCAACTTTAAAATGGGATTAAATATAACTACATAAGTATGGAATTTATTGCAACATTTTATAATATTTTTTCGTTCCTTTTGAAGCTGTAGTATACAGTTTTGGGAAAATATAATTTTATAGTAGTTATAAATTTGTATATTATAAAATTCATAATACAAATTTATCAATTGTACAAAATTGCACTCGTATGAATAGACGACTGCTGCAAATTTCTTTATTTTGCCATGAATTTGTAATAAAGTTACAAAAATGATGTTGCAATAATCATACACACTTGCAACATTCACACACACATTGATATGGAGTAACATTAATGCAACTATGTATGTATATTTTTTAAGTATTTATGTATTTTTGTTGTACTTTTATCTTTTGCACATTATAGAATCTGAACTTATTTATTTATGTATGTATGTGTTTGTATGTGTATTTGAAAGCATAAAAATATACAGTGGGGAAAAAAACTCGGCAATGGCCATGGATTTCACGACTGAACTGATAATATTTTAGAGTCACTATTATTTTGTATGTATGAATGTTTAATAACATTTTAAACAAAATATGCTGTACAGATTTAAAGAAGATATATTTCTTATCTATAGGTCTGATCATATTGTCTTCCACTGTTAGAGTAAGAGTAAGCTTGTGACTAAGGGTCATATACAAATGTGAATATTAAATATACATATACTTACATATCTATATCAACATGCATATATGTATATTCTTATATGTTGCACGTATTTCTACCACAAATCCACAAATCCCAAAGAGTATTGACATAATTTTACAATACGAAGTCCATAAACACATTTACGGCCAGTATTTTAGTCAATACACTAGTATGTGTGACTACATACTGCAACTTGCAACATAAACTCTGGAAGCACATTAAAAATTGTTCAATTTTTTTCAAGTATTTTTCGTAAACTATCGAAAAAGATTATCGTTTACACTTTTGCAACCCCATTACCCCAAAGTACAGTAATGGCAGTACATACATACAATCATTTGTACAGTTTGGACCAAACCAAAATGCACATTAAAGTATAAACGAATTGGAACTGTGATGTACTGCTGCTGGTTAGCGTTTGCTGCTAGTTACTTTTGGTCACTTGGCATACACAGCGCAATAAATTTATCACACTCAAACTTAAAATAAAAAAGTAATGTGAACCAAAATTTCCGAAAAAGTGAAAAAAATAAGAAAAAATTACTGTGTTTATATATATATATAACGGAAAGAATCTAAAGGGAATTTATAGAGGAAGCGACACATGGCACGATCACGTTGTCACACGAGTACGAAGAAGAAAAAGGGACTAAAAAAAATTATAAACTTTGTTGCCAAAAGGGGTTTAAGTGAAAATTTATTGCATTATTATTAACTAAACCCGAAAATAATGAGAAAAAAATAAACAAAAAAAGAAAAGAATAACTTGCATAATAACTTACCAAACGGAAAAGAGTTGTTGTACGAACATTTAACTTAAAAGTTTATCCGGAATTTTTATTTTCTTTATACTTCACTCATTTGGCTTAATTTTTGGTTACATTTTAATACACTGAAGGATTTTCTTTTAATTGTAGACAATGATGTGAAGTTTTTGATATACAGTTTCTAAACTTTTTTTTCAAATTTTAAGAACAATAAAATGAGTTTCTTATAGTTTCAAAATTTTCTTATAAATAACATTAATTGTTATTTAAAAAACCTCAATTTTTGGAGTGTCGTACTCTGAGCAGAAATATTACTGAATAAATTGTAAATTATGTAAAATTTCCTAGACTATAGACTAGACTATAGACTAGACTATAGACTAGACTACAGACTAGATTATAGACTAGACTATAGACTAGACTATAGACTAGATAGACTAGACTATAGACTAGACTATAGACTAGACTATAGACTAGACTATAGACTAGACTATAGACTAGACTATAGACTAGACTATAGACTAGACTATAGACTAGACTATAGACTAGACTATAGACTAGACTATAGACTAGACTATAGACTAGACTATAGACAAGACTATAGACTAGACTATAGACTAGACTATAGACTAGGACTATAGGACTAGACTATCGACTAGACTATAGACTAGACTATAGACTAGACTATAGACTAGACTATAGCTAGACTATAGACTAGACTATAGACTAGACTATAGACTAGACTATAGACTAGACTATAGGACTAGGACTATAGACTAGACTATAGACTAGACTATAGACTAGACTAATAGACTAGACTATAGACTAGACTATAGACTAGACTATAGACTAGACTATAGACTAGACTATAGACTAGACTATAGACTAGACTATAGACTAGACTATAGACTAGACTATAGACTAGACTATAGACTAGACTATAGACTAGACTATAGACTAGACTATAGACTAGACTATAGACTAGACTATAGACTAGACTATAGACTAGACTAACTAGACTATAGACTAGACTATAGACTAGACTATAGACTAGACTATAGACTAGACTATAGACTAGACTATAGACTAGACTATAGACTAGACTATAGACTAGACTATAGACTAGACTATAGACTAGACTATAGACTAGACTATAGACTAGACTATAGACTAGACTATAGACTAGACTATAGACTAGACTATAGACTAGACTATAGACTAGACTATAGACTAGACTATAGACTAGACTATAGACTAGACTATAGACTAGACTATAGACTAGACTATAGACTAGACTATAGACTAGACTATAGACTAGACTATAGACTAGACTATAGACTAGACTATAGACTAGACTATAGACTAGACTATAGACTAGACTATAGACTAGACTATAGACTAGACTATAGACTAGACTATAGACTAGACTATAGACTAGACTATAGACTAGACTATAGACTAGACTATAGACTAGACTATAGACTAGACTATAGACTAGACTATAGACTAGACTATAGACTAGACTATAGACTAGACTATAGACTAGACTATAGACTAGACTATAGACTAGACTATAGACTAGACTATAGACTAGACTATAGACTAGACTATAGACTAGACTATAGACTAGACTATAGACTAGACTATAGACTAGACTATAGACTAGACTATAGACTAGACTATAGACTAGACTATAGACTAGACTATAGACTAGACTATAGACTAGACTATAGACTAAACTATAGACTAGACTATAGACTAGACTATAGACTAGACTATAGACTAGACTATAGACTAGACTATAGATTAGACTATAGATTAGACTATAGACTAGACTATAGATTAGACTATAGACTAGACTATAGATTAGACTATAGACTAGACTATAGACTAGACTATAGACTAGACTATAGACTAGACTATAGACTAGACTATAGACTAGACTATAGACTAGAATATAGACTAGACTATAGACTAGACTATAGACTAGACTATAGACTAGACTATAGACTAGACTATAGACTAGACTATAGACTAGACTATAGACTAGACTATAGACTAGACTATAGACAAGACTATAGACTAGACTATAGACTAGACTATAGACTATAGACTAGACTATAGACTAGACTATAGACTAGACTATAGGCTAGAATAACACCTTAAACTACTTTATAGTACTTAAATTATAAATGTTTACTACTTACCGGCGTTGAATAGGGATGAGCCGTTTAGTCGTATCCCATCCGCCTCTAAATGTCTCTTAATCACAGATTCTAATTCTTTCATCGTTGTTGGTGTATCACATTCGGCCGCTAAAATTTCATTACTACTACTCAATGCCTTCGGATCATTGATCATGACATACACCAGTGCAGCGCCCTTTTCACGCAGCGTACGCACACTCTTCAGCAGTTTACTACGATGTTGGGCATTATCCACACCAATCGCATCTAAATCAATTTCACCGATTTGCTTACAAATCTCCAACTCATCATAGCCATTCTCCATGAAACTTTCTGCGTACTGTTGCAAACCTAAAGCTCTTAACCACTCACAAACAATATTGTTATGTGGCATATTTTCGTATCACGTAATATGAGGAGGCGGTGTAAAGTCAAGCGGAGCAAAACTAACTTTTGGCACTTTGAGAGCTGATTTTAATTTCGTACTTGTTGTATTCGCTGACGACGATGTTGACGATGATGCTGTGGAATTTGTAGGCGTTGCAACACTGATTGATGCCGATGCTGCAACCGAGATGTTGCTTATGAGTGGCGTAGCATTTGCTGTTGAATGGGCTACTTGAGCTGTTGGACAGTTTGTTGCCTTCATAGCATCTATTATTGATAGTTCGTTTTAGGTGGTAATTGGAAAAATGAAATGACTGTAAAAAGAAAAAGAAAAAAAAAGAAAATAAATGCAAATGTTGGGTTATATTTACATAGCTGGTATGAGACAAAGTTGCAACGAAAACATAAAAACAGAATTTAAATGAATTTTTAGAAGATGAAACAAATTGAATAAATAATAACGTTTAATGTTTGCAAATAATAGAACTAATGTTTATTTGACTATATTAAAATTGAAATCTAAAATTTTCTTATTTTATGAAAAAATTCTAGTGTTAATTTGTTATTAGTTGAATATTTCTATTTTATCTCTTAATTATGTTAAATCCATACAAATTGCTCTAAAGTTTAAAACAGCAACTCAAGTTGAAATTTTAAATAAGTCACACGAATATTCGAATAACAATTTTCTTGATATCTTCAACTACTTTATGACGAAATTTGTAAATCCTATTAAAAATCTTTAATGTCAAATTATTTAATTAATAATTTCAAATAAATATAAATTCTTAAAAAACTTTCCCAGGTATAAACTGTCATTCAATTGTTTTTGCTGTATGTATACCTCTAGAAAATAACCTTTGGGTTCAATTGGAGCAATAAAATTTTCATATTCTCAATAAGTGTTCTTTAATGTGTTAAATTTCCACAATAATTTATAATTAAAATTCTTAAAAGAGAAACCGACATTTTTAAATTATTATTTACCTTTAACTCGACAAAAATCAATGTGAAAACGAATTAACAAAATTATGATATAAATTTATATACATATTTATGCCTAAAAGAGCCCTTAAGATATTTACTTAAAGACACTACACATATAACAGTTTACATACATATTTAATATACAATTATTAAACATAAACACACATCTTTACTTATGCAGCAAAAACACTTGTCTCTGTTAATGTACAGATGTAAGTATTTAAGTATGTAAGTATGCGTGACAAATAATTGGGGGAAAAAGGAAATCAATTTAAGATCATAATTTAAACAAGTTGTAGTAGTAGTAGTGTGCAATGTACATTTCATAAAAGTACATCATTTATTTATTATTTAAATCAAGTATATCCTGAGGATACTTAAACACATACAGACTGAGCAACATACACACACACAGATGAATTAAGTAGTTATAAAATACAAATAAGAAGAGCAAATAATTGTAATATTATAGTTTAACACTATTTGTATAATACACTGTATGTAAATACATACATCCATACAAACATACATATGTTTTCGTAAACACACTCATACATTAACATACAAACATTTAATGACAATAATATTTAATGATGTTGTTGCTGTAGTTACTGATGCCGTTGTTGTTGTTGAATTAACTAATACAATTGTATATAAGATCTTATACATAAATAAACATACATTTGCACTTTGTGCAAGATAAATGTCTATTTATAATCAGACAAACATACATATGTATATACTTAAAGGAACTCTATGTTGAATGTATTTATGTATACATATGTACATGTTTATGTTTGTATGTATTAACATATACTACTTCAAGTTATAAAACATAATAAACGACCTAAGAAGAAATGTTCAAAAAAGAGTAAATTACAAATATAAGTATAGGTACATACACACATACAAATAAACTTGCACAACTACGAGAGTTGGGTGATAAATGAAAAATTTATTTTTTATTTTGAAAAAAAAATAATAATATTTAATTTAAAAATAAAAAAACTGATTAACTTCTCTAGAAATCCGTGAAAAGTGATCGATTTTATGCATTAGGGTATATCGTGTAACTATGTGAACAATTAAAACAATTCGAAATCTTTGCTTGTAAATCTTTTAGTCTAATACTACAATTTTTGTTGCTAATTATTATCTTTAAGAAGAAGAAATAGTTTACGAAACTAGTTTAAAATATGAATTATGCAATACAGCTTTGAAACTTTATAATGAAAGAGCAGACTAATAATTTTAATACATTTCGGGGCGTATGAGTAATATTTCTCTATACGTATTAACTATTATACGAATTTGTCGAATTGTAGTTAGTTAGTTAGTAGTTAGTTAGTTAGTTAGTTAGTTAGTTAGTTAGTTAGTTAGTTAGTTAGTTAGTTAGTTAGTTAGTTAGTTAGTTAGTTAGTTAGTTAGTTAGTTAGTTAGTTAGTTAGTTAGTTAGTTAGTTAGTTAGTTAGTTAGTTAGTTAGTTAGTTAGTTAGTTAGTTAGTTAGTAGTAAGTTAGTTAGTTAGTTAGTTAGTTAGTTAGTTAGTTAGTTAGTTAGTTAGTTAGTTAGTTAGTTAGTTAGTTAGTTAGTTAGTTAGTTAGTTAGTTAGTTAGTTAGTTAGTTAGTTAGTTAGTTAGTAGTTAGTTAGTTAGTTAGTTAGTTAGTTAGTTAGTTAGTTAGTTAGTTAGTTAGTTAGTTAGTTAGTTAGTAGTTAGTTAGTTAGTTAGTTAGTTAGTTAGTTAGTTAGTAGTTAGTTAGTTAGTTAGTTAGTTAGTTAGTTAGTTAGTTAGTAGTTAGTTAGTTAGTTAGTAGTTAGTTAGTTAGTTAGTTAGTTAGTTAGTTAGTTAGTTAGTTAGTTAGTTAGTTAGTTAGTTAGTAGTTAGTTAGTTAGTTAGTTAGTTAGTAGTTAGTTAGTTAGTTAGTTAGTTAGTTAGTTAGTTAGTTAGTTAGTTAGTTAGTTAGTTAGTTAGTTAGTTAGTTAGTTAGTTAGTAGTTAGTTAGTTAGTTAGTTAGTTTAGTTAGTTAGTTAGTTAGTTAGTTAGTTAGTTAGTTAGTTAGTTAGTTAGTTAGTTAGTTAGTTAGTTAGTTAGTAGTTAGTTAGTTAGTTAGTTAGTTAGTTAGTTAGTTAGTTAGTTAGTTAGTTAGTTAGTTAGTTAGTTAGTTAGTTAGTTAGTTAGTTAGTTAGTTAGTTAGTTAGTTAGTTAGTTAGTTAGTTAGTTAGTTAGTTAGTTAGTTAGTTAGTTAGTTAGTTAGTTAGTTAGTTAGTTAGTTAGTTAGTTAGTTAGTTAGTTAGTTAGTTAGTTAGTAGTTAGTTAGTTAGTTAGTTAGTTAGTTAGTTAGTTAGTTAGTTAGTTAGTTAGTTAGTTAGTAGTTAGTTAGTTAGTTAGTTAGTTAGTTAGTTAGTTAGTTAGTTAGTTAGTTAGTTAGTTAGTTAGTTAGTTAGTTAGTTAGTTAGTTAGTTAGTTAGTTAGTAGTAGTTAGTTAGTTAGTTAGTTAGTTAGTTAGTTAGTTAGTTAGTTAGTTAGTTAGTTAGTTAGTTAGTAGTTAGTTAGTTAGTTAGTTAGTTAGTTAGTTAGTTAGTTAGTTAGTTAGTTAGTTAGTTAGTTAGTTAGTTAGTTAGTTAGTTAGTTAGTTAGTTAGTTAGTTAGTAGTAGTTAGTTAGTTAGTTAGTTAGTTAGTTAGTTAGTTAGTTAGTTAGTTAGTTAGTTAGTTAGTAGTTAGTTAGTTAGTTAGTTAGTTAGTTAGTTAGTTAGTAGTTAGTTAGTTAGTTAGTTAGTTAGTTAGTTAGTTAGTTAGTAGTTAGTTAGTTAGTTAGTTAGTTAGTTAGTTAGTTAGTTAGTTAGTTAGTTAGTTAGTTAGTTAGTTAGTAGTTAGTTAGTTAGTTAGTTAGTTAGTTAGTTAGTAGTTAGTTAGTTAGTTAGTTAGTTAGTTAGTTAGTTAGTTAGTTAGTTAGTTAGTTAGTTAGTTAGTTAGTTAGTTAGTTAGTTAGTTAGTTAGTTAGTTAGTTAGTTAGTTAGTTAGTTAGTTAGTTAGTTAGTTAGTTAGTTAGTTAGTTAGTTAGTTAGTAGTTAGTTAGTTAGTTAGTTAGTTAGTTAGGAAGTTGCATCAAATCACCTAAGCCCCCCTCGATCCTTTTCTTCGGTTTGACAGGCTTCGTAATCATCCCACGCAGTAGGTTCCTCTGGAGTAATATAAATGAATATTGTATGAATGTGTAATACATATACATGACAATGAACTTATTAACAACAAAATTATGCATCCGAATTATCTCTTAGTAAAATAACTATGAAGGTGGCACCAACTTTATCAATTCTTAAAAATCAGTAAATTTAAAATCAGAAAAATTAAAATTAGGTTTATGATATAAATAAAATATTCTAAATATATTTTTTTTTTTGGGAAAAAATATTTGATTATTTTGTCATAGAGTAAAAATTTTACAATTGTTTTGAACCATTCTAAAAAAGAAACACAAATTCACTCTAATATTTAGAAAAGCTAAAGTCGAAATTATAATTAATACGCTTTTGGTATGCGTGTGTTTAACATGTATTAGTCTATGTGAGTGTATATGTGTCTGTGCAATTTTTATGAAGTCAATATATTTTGTAAGGAAGTTATAATCGTATTTGTAATTGTCTATTTCTAATGGTTTTTTGTACTTCATTTCCAAATCTCAATTTGAAACATTAGAAAAGTATGTGCAAACATACATGCTGGATAAGCTTTAAAAGTAGAACAATTGAGTATTATCTAAAAATACAAAAAACAAAAAAAATATATATATGTATATGTATATGTATATCAAATCCATAATAACGAAAATCGTTTCCAGAATCCACATAATTTTGACAATTATTTATTTTGAATTATTTCTTCATTAGTAACAAAAATTCTAATTACAACAAAAAGCCTTCATCCTTAATCAGACTTTCTTTTATAAGGCATATTCCTTCTTTCTTTTATTCAAATATCTTAACCTTTTAACCTTAACATGTTTTGTTATGACTATCTTAAAAAAGTTGTTTTTGACATTTGTTGAACTTATCAATTAACCTACTGTATTCAATTCAGACAATATACATATGTTGGTAACAACAAGCGAACAAACAAAAACAAATGACCACTTTAAGTGACAGATGTACATTGGGTCAAACATTACACACAACAAAGGACAGCAGTAGCAACAACAACACAAAAATAGAAAAGAAAATGAATGTGTTATTACAAAATGTTTTTCCTGATGATCCATGCCAGACTTAAAATCTCAACTAAGTAGTCGAACTCGTACAAATATAGACGACGGACAAATGTCCAATGTT